TCCTTTTCTCCCATTCCCCTCCCTTTCTCCCATTTTCCTTTTCTCCCATTTTCCTCCCTTTCTCCCGTTCTCCTCCCTTTTCTCTCCCTTTTATCTCATTGTCTTCCTTTCCTCCAATTTTCCTCCCATTGTCCAATTTCCCTCCTTTTCTCCCCATTTTCCTCCTTCTCTCCACCTTCCTTCCCTCCCTCCGATTTCCCCCCCTTTCTCCAATTCCCCTCTCTCTTAACTTTCCTCCTTCCTCCCAATTTTCCCTCTTTTCTCCAACCTGATTCCCTTTCTCATTTTCCTCCTTTTCCTCGATTTCCCCTCTCCTTTTCCCCAATTTCCCCCCTTTTTTCCTGGATTTCCCCGCGCGGATGCAGCCCCCGGTACCTGCAGATGGCCGACTGGCTGTAGGCAGGGCCCTCGGTGGCCGTCAGCGCTTGTCCCACCTGCGTCTGCGTCAGCCCGAGGGACAAACGTCGGATCTTGAAGTTCTTGGCAAATTCCCGGATCTCCTCCAGGTTAATCCCGTCCTCCTCCGTGCTGCTGTTGGGAACCGGGGGCTCTGCCGGTGGAGGAATGCGGGGAGATGCCGTGAAAACGGCCACGGAGCCACGGAGCCCTCACCTCCGGCCCGTAACGGAGCGCCAGCCCTCGTCCCCAAGGATGGAGAGCACGGGTGCGGAGCTTTGTGGGCAGTGACCCCACTCACCCTCCTTTTCCACTCTTTTCCTCCTTTTCCTCCATTTTCTTCCCTTTCCGCCGTTTTCCCCCTTTTCTCCCATTTTCCTCCCTTTCCCTAATTTTCCTTTTCCCCCATTTTCCTCCTTTTCCCCCATTTTCCTCCTTTTTTCCCCATTTCCCTCCCTTTCCCTAATTTTCCTCTTCTCCCATTTTCCTCCTTTTCTCCCATTCTCCTCCCTTTCTTTATTTTTCCTCTTATCCAATTTTTCTCCTCCCATTTTCCTTCTTTTCTCTAATTTTCCTCCTTTTCTCCAATTTTCCTTCTCCCATTTTCCTCCTTTTCTCCAGTTCTCCCTTTCTCCAGCTTTCCTCTCTTTCTCTGATTTTCTTCCCTTTCTCCATTTTTCCTTGTCTCCAACTTTCCTCCCTTTCCCTAATTTTCCTCCCTTTTCTCCCATTTTCCTCCCTTTTCTGGTTTTCCTCTTTTTCTCCAATTTTCCTTCTCTCCCATTTTCCTCCCTTTCTCCAATTTTCCTCCTTTTCTCTCGCCCCATCCCAGGGGATCCCAGGCCCCAGCATCCCCCCAGCATCCTCCCCCAGTATCCTCTCCCCATCCCAGGAGATCCCAGTCCCCAGTATCCTTCTTCCCAGGGGATCCCAGTCCCCACCATCCCCCCCAGTACCCCCCGCTGTGACTCACTGGAGACCAGTTGGCTGACGGTGGGGGTCTCCGAGCAGGTGATGGGGACGGGCGTGGAGGAAGCCTTTGTCACCGGGACAGGGTTTGCCATCACCACAGCCGGCTGGGAAAGAGCCGGGGCCGGCTGGATGGGCTGGACCTGGGGCAGAGGGGAGGGTCAGCACCCCCAGAACAGGGGCTCCCCCTTTTCCCGCGCCACGGCCAGGCTGCTCCCCACCCACCAGCTCCATCTGTGCCGTGGCAAGAGAGCAGCCACCGCGTTGGTTTTGCCGACAGCGGTGGTGAGAGGGGCTGGGATGGAGAGGTGACACCAGAAAAAGTCCCGACTCCATGCTGGAAATGGGGCCATGACAGTTCTGTCCTGGGTCTGGGGTGTCCTGCCACGTAGGTTTGGGGGTGACCAGCACCTCTGCTCACGCCAAGGGAAGGCTTGGTCACGTCCCCATCCCAGCTGGGAAATTTGGTGGGCACAGAGAGCCGGATGCCCCACGGGGCAGCACTGCAGGGCAGGAGGGGTCATGTCCCGAGGATGCTCACGGGCTCCTAAAGCAACGTGGCCAGGTCCCAAAGCCACACGTCTGGGTCCCAAAGATGCTCACGGGCTCCAAAAGCAGTGCGCCCGGGTCTCAAAGATGTTTGTGTGCTCCCAAAACAACGTGGCCAGGTCCCAAAGCCACACGTCTGGGTCCCAAAGATGCTCACGGGCTCCAAAAGCAGTGCGCCCGGGTCTCAAAGATGTTTGTGTGCTCCCAAAACAACGTGGCCGGGTCCCAAAGCAACGTGGCCGGGTCCCAGAAATGCTCACAGGCTCCCAAACCAATGTGGTCGGGTCCCAAAGCAATGTAGCCACATCCCAGAGATGCTCCTGTGCTTTCAGAGCAATGTGGCTGGGTCCCAGAAATGTTCATGTGCCCCCAAAACAACGTGGCCAGGTCCTAAAGCAATGTGGCTGGGTCCCAAAGATGCTCACGGGCTCCCAAAGCAACGTGGCCGGGTCTGAAAGCAACGCAGCCACGTCCCAGAGATGTTCTCATGCTTCCAGAGCAATGTGGCTGGGCCCCAGAAATGCTCATGTCCCCCCAGAACAACGTGGCCAGGTCCTAAACCAATGTGGACAGGTCCCAAAGCCACGTGGCCAGGTCCCAAAGATGCTCACGTGCTCCCAAAGCAACATGGCTCCATCCCAAAGATGCTCATGTGCTTCCAAGGTCACGTGGCCAGACCCCAAAACCACGCCTGGGTCCCAAAGGTGCTCACATGCTCCCAAAGCAACGTGGCCGGGTCCCAAAGCCACACAGGCAGGTCCCAAAGATGCTCACATCCTCCCAAAGCAACATTGGCCACGTCCCAAAGGTGCTCATGTCCTCCCAAAGCAACGTGGCCGCATCCCAAAGAGGCTCACATCCTCCCAAAGCCACACAGCCAGGGACACTGCCAGCCCTTTGGCCACGTGGCCGTTAGCCCCGTGCCCGTGGCTCACCTCATTCTTGATGGGGGGCTCGGGGGTGCCCGTTTTCTTGATGGTGGCCGCCTGGATGGTGCTGCCGGCCAGCGTGGCGATGACCTGGCCCTGGGCATTGAGCAGCAGCTGCGGCGTCACCGTTTGCACCTGAAGGTTCTGGGCTGGCAAAGCGGGCGGGGCAGGGCTGGCTGCCGCCATCCCGGGGGGGTTCACCACCCACGGCAGGGTCCCGATTACCTGGGTGAAGGGAGCGAGAGCCATGGCTGGGGGGTTGCATCCTGCAAACACCCTTCCACGGGATTCGTGGCTGAGTCTGGAAGGGCAGGTGGTGCCCCCACACCCCTCCCCGCAACGGTACCTGGCCCTGAGCGTTGGTCAGGATCTGGCCCGTGATGCCCTGCACACTGGAGATGGTGTTTGCGATCACGGGGGCGGCTGCCAAAGAGCCGAGGAGC